TACTTACATATGTACGTACATACATACATGCGTGCATACATGCATTCATACAGGTACATACATGAGTTCATATACACACACACACATACATACGTACATATACATATACACATACTTTTACACATGCATATACGTGTACATAAATAAATAAATATATATATATATATACACACATATGGCTGCAACTTCTTCAGGCCTCCGTTATTAAATTCAGCACAAAAGCCGAACAACAATAATCACCACTGCCTGGGACTTGGGGAAAGGTGTGCCGATGCTGCATACCGGCTGCGGGATCACACTGCAGCCAAGCAATATGGAAACAAAACCATTGGCATCCACACAAGTAGCACGATGCTGACGTGCATGGGTGCGAGTATTGGTGACTAGAATTCATCCGCACGCAGTAACATACTACTAGCAGCACTACCGTAAGGCTGCGAGCAGTCCCAGCAGTACTCTGAACATCGCCTAGAAGAGAGGCCGAGTCGGAAAGTGATGTTCGTTGCTATATTGGCTGCCTGGCAGCAGAACGGGCCCTGTCGCCGCCTCCTCCTTATCTCGGAGGTCCGGGGAGAACATGTCAATCCAGCAGCGGACCGGAGCTGTGGGATGCCAGCACATCTCAAGCCTCGGGAATCTGTAGGATGGGGCGTTCCGGGATTTGGGGGCGAATCATTGGCCCTGAACCCTAAAGTCTGAACTCCAACTCCTACATCTTAAACGTCATGTTTGCACCCTCCTTCTGCGGGCACCGACACCAAGAACTTCCCAAGATGATCACTGACCACAAACTTACTTGGTGGTGGTGGTGGTGGTGGTGGCGGCGGTGGAGGTAGCGGCAGCAGCACTCCTAGCCGATGATCATTATGTTGAGGAGGACCAGGGTTAAAGAATATTCAACTCGCAACACCACCACGGCTTTCTTGCATGGAAGTCCGACCCGGTTTTGCTTCGGAAATCTGCAAAGTCCTTCGTCCAAGACTCGTGTAGCAAGGGGGTGTCCGCCACATTCCGGTGTCCTCCAAGGTTGTCCCCAATGCATTGAAGATCTTCTCCCACCTGGGCTACCGTTCCAAGCTGCTCACACCCAGAGACTCCAATATCCCTTAATTAAGGAATATACCTTAAATCATATTAAGGATCCTACTATAATTTAAGGAATATTCCTTAATTAAGGAATATTGGAGTCTCTGGGCATGGCGTGTTGTGTTTGCATGCTAATGGGCCTTCTGGCATCCGGGCCTGCTCGAATCTCGAACTACGCGGCAATGATGAAACTGAGGACCAGGGGATCTTGCAGCACTACAGACTACCGGCTGCAGGCTCAAGCTGATCAGTAGCCCTTACATGCGAAATCCCTTATCCTTGAAACGCAGACACACAAGACGACCTCAGAAAGCAAGAGCTCCTGAGGTAGACACTTAGACAGAACAAAATGTATTGGACGCCCCCTGAATGACGTTCGCCTATGGTTTCCCACAGCTCTATAAAGCCCTGCCGCAGTGTGACCATCAGGTACACCCCCGACCTTGGCTGCTTCGATCGGCGGGTTTCAGGTGTGACAAAGCGGGCGGATTGGATCCGGAGTCCTACGATTGTTTGTATCCTTGGACTGTACATAGGTTTTACGGCTTGCTGCGACAGACTGCTAGCAGGCTACCACAATTGAGGGGGGACCAAACTGCCAAACATCATCCATGCAAAGTGCTTTTGCAAACTGAGCATGCCTGAAGCGCTTGAGGCTGGAGCGTGTCCGCTACTCAGCTCTCCCCTGTGCCTTGCAGGTCTAGAAGCCCGACATCCTTAATCCAGGCGCCGGTGCCGTACGTTCTTGCCAACCGTGCCATCATTTAAACCCCAACCCTCAAGACCCAGACCTAAAACCCAAAGTAAACTCCCAAACGCTGAAGTCCTCGATCATGTAGGGGCCTTAAGACTTGGAAAACGGTGTCGAGGTATATTCGAAGATCTCTACTTACATTGGGGCACTTTGAGGAAGTTAACTTTTGCGACCCCTATATGGGCCCCTGAACACCGAGGAGCTTGTGGTAGGTCACCGCCAGGTAGTGGAATCTTTCCCAGGGCTTCGATGGCTGAGCTGCGCCCTTTCGCACATGCGAGGCGGCCCGCTGCACCATAGATACAGCCTCCATTACCCAGAGACTCCAATATTCCTTAGATAAGGACTATTCCTTAAATTATAGTAGGATCCTTAATATGATTTAAGGAATATTCCTTAAGTACAGAATATTGGAGTCTCTGGGCACCGTCATTTACACTCTCACAACTCGGACAAGCCAGGCAAGGATCCATATGTTCGCAGTCGGCGTGAAGACTAGATGACTTTCGATGCCTTATCGTCATTTAGGGTTTAGGGTCATGATTACCCCTACGACATAAACCACTAAGCCACTACACACACCATACTCGAAAGGGCCCTGGCATGAGGATGAGTGTAGTGCCCGGAAAACTATGTGGCAAGCCCTAAAACCTTTTCGAGTCCGTACCCAGGTTGCACCGACTTGTACATGCCCGCCTGGTTCTCGATCATACCCCCAAGCCCGAAAATAATGATAAAGCCCTGGTGATCGAGGGGCCATGATCTGATATGATTCCTCTATTGTACGGAGGGGTTTAGGGTTTAGGGGGAGTGCTATGTCCCTGACTAAGGGTTTAGGGGCCTAAAGGAATACTGTTACGAATTATGCAGGCTTCTGTAGTAAAGGAGTTTCAGAAGAAGCTCAGGCACTGGCCGAGAATAACGGACACCAGACATAGACAGGGACACCGAACGAGAGGTACGTATGTTTGTACGTGTCCAGATGGAAAAACACACAAACACACGCACACACATACACACACACGGACAAGAGGACAGACACACACACACACACGGACACGAGGACACACACAAACACACAGACACACACACACACATATATATATATATATACACACTCACACACACACACACACACCCACACACCCACACACCCACACACACGGACACGAGGACACACACACACACACACACCTACACACACACACACACACTCACGCACACACACACACACACACACACTCTCTCTCACGCACACCCACACACACACACCCACACACACACACACACGGACACGGGGACAGACAAACAGACACACACACACACCCACACACGTAGTTTGACCGACAGCCCGCAGCCCACATTTTCAGCCGGCGGATAACACTGGCCCTGCAGTCAACATCGAAGTTTGACCTCGGAAACCCTACACGTCCCCAATCCCAAAAAGGTTTGTAGCGGAAGCCCTCAAGTAAGAAAACGACATACATCTCAACGCGAGCAAGATGCAGCGTCATCGCGTCCAGCGAGGCAACCCTTCGTTTCACAAGCATCGCAAGATGCGTAGGCTGTGGAGGGGTAGAGATGCTGATGGTTTGATGGGGCTTTAGCACTTGTCTTTCCTCAAAGGCCCGGGGTATGTAGGGGCCTTAACCTCATCCCTAGGTGGCGCAGTGCCTCACCAAGACAGCGGCGACTCCGAACGACCAAACATCTCCACTGGGGCCTTTACCAGGGTTTAGGGTTTTAGGGTGTAGGGTTTTGGGGATGAGGGTTTCGGGTTTAGGGTTGCCCTGTAAGCTTCCCGGTCTAATGCCTGTGTACTGTAATGCAGCCATGGTTTCGACCGCAACCCCATCCTCAGTGCAGAATTGCTCGAAAAGCACAAAGCGTGCTGTTTGAGCCTAACATAAGCAACAAGAACAGCACCCCTTTCTCAAGGTGAAGAGGCGACCCGAACTACCGATGCATATCAGGTCCGCCATAATGATTTCTGTACTAGAGGGACCCAAACCTAAGCCGCGAAAGACTTAAACCTGTGCAAGTGGGCGAGAGGCCGCCAGCCAAGCGAAGGCTAGCAACTGCAAGAGGCGCACCATGACTGCACCATTGGCGGCTCCGCAGGAAGGGTGTCAACATGAAAGGTTTTAAGGCTTAGGGGTTTGAGGCTGTAGGGGATGACTTAGCGAGGTTTTGGGGTATAATCGTACAGAATTAAACTCTGAACCCTAAACCCTATAGTAAGGGTTTTGGTGCATAGAAGGGTTCGACGCTTAGGATTCCAGGGCGTTAGGTAGGTTATATAGTATATCTATACGGTTCTGCATCTGCCGGCCCGGGCGTGCAAGCTGTGTGTGCTATAGTATATCTATAATAAGGAAGTTGCCGGTGGTTGAACATCGGAAGGAAGACATCAGCGGAGCTTGCTAAAACAAATGCAGAGGTCTGCAATTTCAACCGGTGTAGAGGCACCAATACTACTGCTTAGGGTTCCATCCTAGGGTTTGGGGTTTAGGGTTTATAGGGTTCAGTAAGAATGCAAGGCTCAGCGGGGTTTCTCTGGAGCCTAAATGCAGGATGTAGTTTCCGACGGCCGAATATTTCTTGCGCAAGTTGCAATTCAGCAAGGACTCTGTCAGCCCCAAACCCTAAGCCCCTTCAACCCTAAACCCTAAAAACCCTAAACCCCTCAACCCAGAGGGCTTGGAAGTTCGTAAAACTCCAAAGCCTGAGTGCCAAGAACGTCCCAAACCTAAATTTTCAACTTGGCTCCTACCCTAAATCCTGGACCCCTAAACCCAAACCCTAACCCCTTGTTTGTCTTCTTTGTCCGTTGCGTGGGTGTTGGTGGATGCTTTCGGCTTTGCGGGATTGACGTGGGTTCAGGGTTTAGGGTTTAGGCCTTACTGTAGCTTTGGGCTGCTCGTGTTTAGGACTTTGGGACTTAGGGCTTACGCTTCGGCTGTAGGGGTTTCGACTCTCTAGGCTTCTGGTTGGCTGTTGCGCGCCCAATCGTACTTTTCTTGATGGGCAGCTGCCAGCAAGTCCTGATTCCTGAGGGTCCATGTAATCTTGGGGCGTTGACCATTACAATAGGGTTTGGTGATTGACTCCGGCTTCTGGAGTACCCTTTGAAGGCTTCCTGTCAAGTGTTTAATCGTGTTTCCGCGAGGTTAGTGTGGAATTGCGTGCCTTTCTTCTGCACCTGTATCATGTGTAGGTTGACCTATATGTATATATATATATATACATAATATATATATATATATATATGTATATATACATATGTATATGTGTGTGTGTGTATATGTAATGCAACGAAATTACTTTGTAGCTACCTGGACCCTGAGGGGATGCAAGGCTCTTGTCATGCAAAGAGCAAAGTTCATGGAGGTCTGGGTCTGATGTCTGGGGTTTAAGGCCAGTTTTGGGCTTCTGGGGGGTTGTAGGATTTGGGGCTTAAGCCAGTTTAAGGGGGCGTGGTCCGGTTTTGTTGAAGGGAAGGTGTGCGTACCAGCATGACAAGACCTTTGGATTCGACAGCTCATCCTTGGCAACGTCTGCCACTCGTGCATCTGCGAGCATCACGCGAAATTGAATCCTGCACTGCTAAGACTAGGGCAGCACATGGTAGGTGGTTTTTCCGGAAATGCGAAGTGAGTGTTCCCAAATCAGACATCTAGGACGGGTCCCGAAGACGTAGCCATGTGATTGTTGTATTGTTTGGCTATGCGTGCATGAAGCACCTCCACACTATTCCAGCTACGACCAACCCAAAACCCTCAACTCTAAGCAAACTAAGCCCCCAACCCTAAACCCTAAACCCTAAACCCCTAAGATCGTTTAGGCTTCTTTTTGCCGTGGCTTTGTCCTACGAACTTGCCGCCTGATTGAAGGACTTGTGGAGTTCTCTATCAACCCAGAGACTCCAATATCCCTTAATTAAGGAATATACCTTAAATCATATTGAGGATCCTACTATAATTTAAGGAATATTCCCTTCATTCAGGGATATTGGAGTCTCTATCAAGCGCTTCTGATGTTCACAGGGTTTGCGGTTTCGTCCGGGGCTTCCGGGCGGCTTCCGCAAGGGTTTTTGGTTGAGGGCCTTTCCGGCTTAGGGTTTCGGCTCTCACACTCGGCTTAGGGTTTAGCGTTTAGGGGTTTAGGGTTTAGGGCTCAGGGTTTAGGGTTTAGGGTTCAAGGTTTCGGGTTTAGGGTTTTGAACGTCTGGGGCGGCTGGTAGTGCTACTAACTTGCCAAAGCCGCAATGGGCTGTCCCAAGCTTGGCAGCTAGACCCTACACGCAAACCTCCGCATCCTAAACCCAGGCAAAGCGATGAATCGCCTGAACCCATCTCCGAGCCCTAAGCCGGACCCTCATTCCTTGACCCTGGACCCTACTCTACACCCGAAAGAACCACCCAAACCGTACAAAGTATACTCAGACCTTATCTTGCTGACCCTAAACCTAACGCGGATTTGGAGTGTAGGCCGCCGTATACTGCAGCCAGCAAAGGATGAGCTCGCAAACAGACTTTTGGGGCAGGGTTTTGGTTTAGGGTTTCGACTCACACACTCGCTCAAAGCAGGCATGACAAGAAGCGTCCCGGTTTAGGGTTTAGGGTTTGGGCAAAATTACGGGCTCGGGGGTTTCTAGGCTTTCGGCTTCATAGGGTATCAGGCCAAGCTTTGAGGGTATGAGGCCACAAGGTTTCAGGGCTTTGGGTTTTTTGAGCGCTTTGAGGCCAGGTCCCCTTCTCGCAGATAAGGACCATACTACTCCGGGACTATGGTGGGGATCCAGCATGTCTGATGGTCGAATTTGGTTGGGCATTGCTACATGTTGGCTCCTGTCGCTTGTTTTTTTGTGCTTCGGACTGCTTTTGCAACGGAAGGGTTCAGTCAGGGACACCAAATTCGGAACTGCCCTCACTTGACTCAGCTGGTCAGCAGCACGGCTTCGCAAAGCTTTGGGCTAGCCTCAGCCCATGTCAGGGAAGGTGTACCCGTGCAGAGGATTTGGGCTTAGAGTGGTGGATGCAGAGCTTAGGGTTCACATGGGAGCTTCCGAAAATAAGGGATGCCTTATTTTGGTGTCCTTATAATAGTATTTACCCTAAGTAGTAGGATCCTTAATAAGGATCCTACTACTTAGGGTATATACTATATTAGGGTCCCCTATTTTCGGAGAATCCCCACATAAGGTTCTCTCGTAAGCAAACTCTCCACCCGAGCTGTGGCTCCAACTTTACCGTTGAAGCTTTGGACCTGCTGGGTTCTGAAAAAAAGATGAAAGGTTTTCCCAATAAAGGAAACATCGACCGCATAGCCTAGCACACACCTGGGTGTTAGTTGGACCGCCGCACATCGGAACGCCAAACGCTCACGCCAGAGAACAATACACAACAACTTTCCATCCCAGGCCTACTTCGTTATGTCACTTCTGAACACACACGAGGTTGCCCGTTCAGGCTTGCTCAGCAACCCCCTCCATGAGGATCGCTCTCCTTCATGTGACTAAACCCTACCCTGCTAAAAAACCCTAAACCCAACCACTGCAAGTTCTGCATGCATAGGCTCCGGGAATGAGGTGGGGATGGCACTGACGATAGCGTAGAAGCCTGAACGGTTACCAATACCGTTTCTGACGAATCCTTATTCCATCTACACTAGAGTATTCTGTACACATACACACATACACGCTCATTTGTATAATTACATGATACAGTAACTTCTATCTATTCAGTTTCCATTATGAAAACTTATGCTAAGTCAAACCCTAAACCCTAAACCCCTAAACCCTAAACTCTAAACCTAAAACCCTAAACCCCTAAACCCTAAACCCAAACCCTAAACCCCTAAACCCTAAAACCCTAAACCCTAAACCCTAAACCCGCCATTGCAGCCTCGGGACCCGGATCTGGCGAACCAGGCAATCCCAGGCCTCTTTGAGAGAGCCTGCCTGGTAAAACGGTTCAGAGTTTAGGGTTTAGGGCTTAGGGTTTCGGTTTAGGGTTTAGGGTTGAGGGTTTAGGGTTTAGGGTAAAGTTCAGAGTTTAGGGTTCTTCTCAAGTTGGTTTTTGCTTTGAGCCCTAAAAGGACTGCTAAAAATAAAGCGCGGTGCCACGGTTTAGAGCTAGGTTTGTCCTTCACATAGCCCATCGTTAGACTTGGAGCGCTAGGGCAGCTTCGGGGGGGCATTTTTATCCTGCATGGGAAGCACCCCCCAACCAAAAAAAGGCAAGCCCTCTGAACCCTCTAAAAATAGCATGTTGTAGAACCCAAAACGCTGAGCCCCAAACCCTATATAAACCCTATAAAGGAACTCTTCAATCAAGGAAGCCTAACCCTAGAAAAGGACCCCTAGAAAGACAAAAAAGCACACCTTGTAGAAGGTCCGAAGGCCCTTGATCCCAAACCCTAGAAAAGGACCCCTAGAAAGACAAACCCTAAACCCTAAACCCTACACCCTAAACCCTAAACCACACCTTGTAGAAGGTCCGAAGGCCCTTGATCAGTGGCGTCGCGGTCTCTGGCGACAAGCGCTCTATGGCCGACACGGCCGCCTCCTTCGGCAGCTGCTTTTATCTGTTTGAAGGGGGTAGGGTTTAGGGTTTAGGGTTTAGGGTTTAGGGTTTAGGGTTTAGGGTTCAGGGTTTAGGGTTTAGGGTGGGTCAGGGTTTAGGATTTTCGAATTTTTAGGGCTTAGGTTGTCGGAAATTGGGGCGTTGGATATGGGGATGGCGGGGCGACGAAGGATTAGGAGCTCTGGTTTTGCTTTGTATTTGGGGTTATTGGGAGGAGGTTCCTGGGGCTTGGCGCTGAGGACATAATGCGACCGATGCTTGAACTTGCAAAGGCGATAATGACGTTGCTGATCATGACGACGAAAAGGATGACGGTAACTATGACGACGACGATAACGATGATGATTACCTTCTGATAGATCCCTATGGTGCCAATAAACGACTCCCTATTTTTAGTATAGATCCTATAGTGTCCTTAAGAGGAGCAAGATTGCTTTTTGGTAAGGTCCAGGCCTCGGGCGGGTAACGGCGGTGACACTATTGTTCAGGGGCGATGAAGAGAAAGGGGTTTAGGGTTTTAGGGTTTAGAAAGGGAATGAGACGAGTAGCAGAAACAGACGGAGAGCACGAATGCACAAATCATAGGCAAGATCTCCCTGTATCACGGAACCGGAAAGACCTGTAACACTTAAACACTCAGCCAGGATTTTTTGGACATATCTTTACAATTCTTAGCGGCAGATGGCCACTTCTAGGAGCTTGGCACGGACTGCCTAAACTTTCGACATGAATCCGGAACAAACTTCTGCATCCGGCATCCAGATCCATTGAAGCTACGGTTTAGGGTTTACACTCACGCAACTCGGGCCTCACAGAGCGCGACCAACTCGAAGGCATGTGCCTGTCCGACTAATGCCAACTCGTCCTCCACAAGCTGTTGCGGCTTTAAGGCCTTTATAAGGTTCTATACAGGGGTGACTGCAGCGTCACGATAAAGGTGCTTGGTTGCTTTGATTGTGTCAAACGGCCAGGGTGCATTTCTGGGATTTAAGGTGTTATGGTGTGCTTTGAGGGGTGTGGGGATACGGTTTGGGTTGGAACTGTGTGAGCCCAAAGGCGCATGGGTAGTCTTCTTAAACAGATTACAAGCAGACCGTAGAATTCGTAAGTACCAGGAAAAACCGTGCAACTATTGCAAACCTACATGTCCCTGCACAGAAGCCTCACACGCGAAAACGCCCTCGTCCTATCTATCACTGTGGGGCATGATCCTAGTTCCGACACTGCCCATAAGAGTCCTCAATAGAGCAAACTCCTCATGCAAAGTTCGTAAGTCGAAATATGATTAATTTAGAGGGGCAGGCCGAACTGCTGCAACACTAGGCCCAAGTGATGAAGTCTGGCATAGTGCTCAACCATCCCTGAAATATTCTGTCGGACTTTGCTCTTCCAACATCGACTGATCCCGTGAAGGCCTTCAAAGGCCTTTGAGAAAACCTTGCAACCTTGCCAGTTAAGAAAATTTTGTAAACCTTTAATTTAAGAACCGAGGTTATGGGTTTACTTTAATTCATCTAATGCCTCAAGTCTCATAGATCCAATCCCAAGAGCCACGAATCCTCAACTCAGGTATCAAATTATCCCGAAACCAAAAACAAGCTTCCTACCCCAGTACTACATTTTGCGTTTGCTATTATTACAATCACGGCTGAAACACTTCTAAGCGCCGTCATTTGTGGCAGCACAAGGACGGCTAACTGCACCATTCATTGCCGACGTCTATTGCTACCACTGCGAGTATTGCTATCTCTGCGGCTTCTACGGTTATAGTGAACCCCAGAAAGGTGGAACATGGATTTAGGATGATTAGTGCAAGAACCCCTTATACTTTAGCTGAAGGGCATGAGGAGTATGATGTTCCAACTTTATGGCTTCTACGGCTGTTGTTTATCAACAGGGTTCTGCGTAGAACTACTCTCGTGTTGATACTCTGAAGGATCCCAGGTAGTCCTCCAAGCTCAGGTCGTTCTCATAGGGCATACCATAGCAATGTCCTGGGGTGCATGTACCGTGCTGCAGCGAACACAAAAAATTATTTGTGGCAGTGCAAAGAATACTACTGAGGTTGTCATATTACCTATAGTCTCCATTGTAGTTCCTTTTTGGGGATGCCTTATAGAGTCCTTAATATATAATTGGTTAAACCAAAAAAAGGAACTACAGTGGAGACTACAGGTACATACTATTACGACAGAAGCTCAGGACTGCTACTGCTGCACTCGCCCCAAAACTTCCACCGATCCTCAAGTAGTTGTGGCAGGATGAGGTAGGGTTTAGGGTTTAAGGTTTAGGGTTTAGGGTTTAGGGTTTAGGGCTGCCAAGAGGTCGTTTCTTCGGTCTTCCTCTGCTAGTATCGTGGGCCGGTTGTGCGATGCCGGCGCCTTGGGCGTACTTGAGGAGGGTCCTGTTCCTGTCGGCCTTCTTTAAGAAGGCCCAGAGACTCCAATATCCCTTAATTAAGGAATATACCTTAAATCATATTAAGGATCCTACTATAATTTAAGGAATATTCCTTAATTAAGGGATATTGGAGTCTCTGGGGGCACGGTTTTGGCCCACGTAGGTGGCCGTGATCAGTAGTCTGCAGCTACTTCGGAAGTCATCACGAAAAAGTTCCTGACTTTAAGGCTCCTACTCAGACGGTTATAGTGGGTCTGCTTGAAAAGGATTGTGGCAGTTTGGTCCTAGCTGGTCAGGATCCTATGGGTCTGGATCTTTCCGATAGGGACTCTAGTAGGTTCGGCTTCATCTGCCACCAGTACCATCAAGATGACGACAACCCCCACTATTACTGTGACTCAGCTCAAGTTCGACGGCTAGAGAACAGTGCGAGGGTTTACTAAAGTTCCCTAAACCGCTTTTTTTGCATCCTTAGGGAACTCTAAACCCCCAAACCCCCCCGCCCCTAAACCCTAAACCCTAAACCCTAAACCCCCAAACCCCCCCGCCCCTAAACAGGTTTGCAGCTTAAGGCTTGGGTTGCAAAGTGAGGGGTGGCAGGCTCAAGGGTCTAACAACACCTTACGCACGGAATGGGTCTCAGGGTTTAGGGTTTAGGGTTTAGGGTTTAGGGTCCGGTTTACTAACAAGTTACCTTGAAGTCCATCAGTCGGGTCTAGTTTGGGGCCCTACAGGAAAAACTAGTTTTGGTCGGCCACGGTGAGTGCCAATGAATAGCAGGATCATCGTTATAACAACCCCTAAGCACGATATACCTGGATTGATTTTAAGCATTCCTCGTCTTGGGGTTTAGGGAGCTAAAAGCTCAGCGTCTCAGCAGCGCTCGCACGACGGCTTCCTGAAGCGATTTGGGGTTTGCAGTTTTAGGCTTTGTCATGTATGACAGGGCTGTGGCATGCCGGCTACATGGAGAGTTCTCTAAATTAGGGTCCCTTTTTAGGTCCCCAATATAGTACGGCACCCTTATGATGATGACCCTAAAAAGGACCCTAATTTAGAAAACTACCCACATACCTTTAGGGTTCAGGGCTTTTGTTGGGGGCTTTCCTTGGGCACCCCTGATCCGGATACATCGACAAGAAAAGAAAATGGCTTTAGGGAGTCTGAGTCTGTAAGCCACACCCATGGGCCCTCATAGTAGTTCCATTTTGGGATTATACGGTTTAGGGTTTAGGGTTTAGGGGTTTAGGGTTTAGGGTTTAGGGTTTAGGGATACCTTATAGGATTCCAAATATGAACCCCAAATAGGAACTACTATGGGGCCTATGGGCCGCCCATTGAAGGCCTCAGGCTTCTGTTGTCCATCAAGGAACCGCATATACAACACACTCCCGGCGGCTTAAAATCAGAGGCCCGAAACAAGAACCCGTTTTCTCCAAAATCCGTAACCTTCAGGGGCCATAATCCCCAACCTCGCGACTCCACGCGGAGGTGAGTCCAAGCGACATTGCAAGGCAAGCTGACGGTGCCGCCAACAACGCCCTCCTGTAGAATTATTCACGTTGGAGGAGTCTCCGGTATTATGAAGTTTCCAGAAAATATGGTTAGCACCCAAAGCCACGAAGGGTGGAACCCAGCGGCTGTCATGTTGGGGATGTCTTCGCAAGCGATTCGCACGGTTTGTGGATGTCGGGGTTTGTAGGATCCAGCCTCTACTTGGAGGGTCGGGGGACTTAGTAAGTAGGTAATAAGTAGACTTATAAGTAACGTAAAAGTCACTCTAATTGGGGTTATGATACTTATAAGTCTATAGAATAACTACTTACTAAGTCCCCCGACCGTCCAAGTACTGTCTTTAGGGCTTAGCTTGAGGGTTAGGCTTGAAAGGCTTAGGGGCTAATCATCTACCCAGAGAGCCCAATACCCCTTAATTAAGGAATATACCTTAAATCATAATATTAAGGCCCCTATAACTTAAGGTATATTCCTGAATTAAGGGGTATTGGGCCCTCTGGGTACCACTAGCGGCTCAAGGCTTCCCACTTCCGGAAGTGAAGCTTCAGACATGGAGATATATGGGCAGTTCTCTAAAGTCGGGTCCCTTTTTAGGTCCCCAAAATAGTACGGCACCCTAATAAGAAGGACCCAAAAAGGAACCCTAATATAGACAACTACCCATATGTCAGAGAACTACAATACTTCCTCGTACCCATACTTCGGGGCGCAGGGAGGTCTAGCATTCACTGCACGTCATCGCCCCCCGACCCCCTGAAACTGCCGCTCCGATCCGGTAATGCCAAATGAACCGAATCTTTGCATGTGCCAGCCTGCATGCACGGAAACGTGCCCCTTCAATACCCACCCCCAGTCCCTGGACCGCTTAAGAATTCGGTTGTTGGGGGTTCGAACTCTGTAACCATAAAGGGTACTGGGTTGCTCATGTCCAGTATCAACATAATCACTAAAACTCACAATATACAGTTACACTCACCAAGCCCCAAATCCAAACCATGAAAAACTCGAAGACCCCTTCCTTCATCGGAGAGAGGAGCATGCAGTGAAAAACCGGAGAAGCAATCGCCAATACCTTTGCGGAAATGTTGGCTTCAAATACGAACCCTAAACTCTAAACGTAACCGCAATGATTCTGAACCCTAAACCCTAAACCCTAAACCCTAATACTGTGAGGTTCTGACTGCCCAGGGGCTGAACTATCTGAAACGGTCGGATTCTGTGGCTGGTGCTTCTAAGGACGGAGCACCTCGGCCTTTGGGTTTAGGGTTTAGGGTTTAGGGTTTAGGGTGTGCTGTGTACTCAAGTGTACTACACTAGTGTCGAAGGCCTCAAACAAGCACCGCTCAACCTCGATCTCTAAACCTCTCAAACTGTAGCGTCCAAAGTCCGAAAGTCCGAAACCTTAAGCCTTTCCGTGCTTAGGGTATGCCCCTTTGCGTTGAGGGAGGAGCATTTCGGCGGGGGGGTAAGAGTAACGCAAGAGAACCTAAGTGCCTTAACAGTTAGAAGTTAGAAGTTACTGATTATAGTAGTCTTGGCAACTATCTCTTTAGTCTTCTTGTCTGGATTGAATGCCATCCCAAGCATGTGGGCTTTTCTTAACTCTGTTAATTTGGAACTTAACGTTCTGTTTCAAGATTGAATGTTGCTTTAATGAGCGATATTTTTTCCCTCCCGCCTGGCTAGTGAGCGATATGGAAACCTTAGCTGTGCAAGATTTCTAGCCTTGTCTCTTTTGGCCTTGGCTCCTGCATGCAGGTAACAGGGCGATAAACAACAAAGGAGCCGAACAAAGGCATGTGTCCTGCAAACACTTCACCATTGCGCTTCATCATTTCTACGAGCTGGAGTCCTTTGCTGGGACCCCTAAGAACCAAGTCACCCGACAGGGACCCTGATTTCGAGAACTCATACCTAATCAAGGCTTCCCAAGGTGCGGATCGATGAGCCTTCACCTCAGCCCCGTCGGAGCACTGGATGACCATGTCAGTGAAGTCCTGTGCAGCTGCGCTCTCAAGCCAAGAAGCCCTGAAACCCGAACCAATCGCGAAAAGCTGCCACATACGAAGGGGCAGAGATGCCGCTGGAGTCCGGATTCAAATTTTGCATGGGTGGGTGCTGAGGCGTGGTATGTAGCAGGAAGGAGGGTGGTAGGAAGTATCTGCGGCTGTCATTAAAGCATCATATGCCTGAACCTGCAAGTATAGTAGTTACAAAACTGGTCCGTGGCTCCAAACCTCCAACCCGGCATGCTGAGGAAAGCACGACAAAACAATGCCCTAAAGTCGTGCTGCACTGGTAAATACCCTTCCAGGGCAAACCTCCCTCAACCATAAACCTCAAAGCCGATATTCATGAATTCTCACCGTCTCGCAGACTGAAGCCCAAGCGCTAACAAAAACCCTAAACCCTGAATAACCCTAAAGCCTAAACTCTGAGCCGGATCCGCATGCACACCTTCCTGGGGCGATACACCTCCTACTAAGCCATGCCACCATGAATGCCTGTCCCTAACGGTCCAAATGCCCGTGCAGTAGGGTTGTACATCCCAAAGCCCATATCATCCATGGTGTTGGTACCTAAAACCTTTCCGTTTGGGTACATGGACGCATAGGTTGTGGAACTTACAGAACGTTATGTGGGAGTTTTCCGAAAATAGGGGACCCTAATATGATAACCCAGATAGTAGGATCCTGATTATTAATGAACCCCAAAATAAGGTACCCCTCATTTTCGGAAACTCCCATGTAGTACCCTGACAGCGCGAGACTCTCCCAGGTCCTCTGGCCCATATCGCGCAAGCACATACCATACCTAAAGCCTAAACCCTAAACCTTAGGGGCTGAGTACCCTAGCCCAAAAAAGGTTAACCTCTTGAACTATAGTAGCATTCTATAAGCCCCCAAAGGTGAAAGGTTACCTACTCAGCCCCTGAGAAACTCTCTAAAGGCCCTGAACCCTGCAAGCCTGTGTGTTCCACAGTCGCTCTACCAGTCGAATTTCCATCTCGCGCCGGCGCTTGAGAGACTTCGTGAGCACTCGGAAGCCTGCCAGAGTTTAGGGTTTTAGGGTTTAAGTAGGGTTTAGGGTTTAGGGTGGACTAAGAAGTTGCGGACATGTGACATGAAGAATGCCTTTGTATTACGGGCAGTCAAGCATCCGGAAAGGACGTCCCAAAGCTCACCAGTACATCCAGGCTGCATACGCTCGCGAGGACTTTCGCATAGAAGCTACTCTCCACAGAAGTGTTGTGCAGCTTGTATGAGGCTGCACAGGGCCATGCAGAAAAACAACAAAAAGTGTTTCAGCAAATGCAGGAACCTGGTCATCGACGCTGCTGCCCAAACGGCTTATTGTCAGATTTTGGGAGGTGTTCCAGGGCACAGGAAGACCGTAAATCCCAGGCCCCTAGGCCGGTGCTGCGAGCGATTCAGGATTCCTCACGTGGAAGGACTCGGCAGTTACTTCACCAGTTCTCTAAAGTAGCCTCGATACGCCTGAGGGCTGTGCATCCGTTCGAACATCATGGAAACGCTTTCGACACGCCGTCTACGTGAACCTGTATCTGCATGCAACCGACATGCATCTGAGTGGTTGCAGGGAGCAGGAAGGCTTGACTGACCCATAGACTCTCCATGCAAGGATGAGCTCGAGGAGGCTTCCCAGAGACTCCAATATCCCTTAATTTCATACTAAGGATCCTACTAAAATTTAAGGAATATTCCTTAGTTAAGGAATATTGGAGGCTCTGGGTTCATGTCCGATCGCTGAAAACAGAAGATCAACCAGTGAAGTGGAGGTTGTTTCTCCTGTTGCGGCCCCTGGGAGGGAGCCACGGTTGCAGCCACATGTTGGGCTCTGGGGTTACCCATAGGCCCCATAGTAGTTCCTTTTTGGGGCGTCCATACTTAGGATCCTATAAAGTAATCCCCAAACAAGAATTACTATGGGGCCGATGGGTAAGGGCTTAGGGTTGAGATCCTGCATATGACTTAAAGTATATTCCTTAATTAAGGGATATTGGAAGTCTCTGGGTAAGTTGAGGGTTGAGAAAAATCGGAAAAAGTCCCAGTCAGAAGTTGTCGCCTCCTGCATCTGCCTAGCTCAACAGCTCGCCACCGACACTTGTAGAAACAGTGAACGACGGGTAGTCATATGGGTGGTTGTCAAAATTATGGTCCCTTTTGGGGGTCCTTATTATAATACGGCACCTATGATTTAGGGTACCACAGAAGGGACCATAATTTTAACAACTACTCATATGTACACAGGAGCAAAGAGACAACTTCCACTATCCAAGACGTGTAGGGAGACAAGACCAACCAAGTTTTGAACCTGACATACAGGACAACTCTGAATACTCACTTATTACTGCTAATTACCGACTGTCCGCGCTAGGTTAGACTCCAGCCCATGCTTTGCAGGCATCGCCTCGTATCCGCACATTTCGCCCGCCCTGTGCAGCCCGCTTGACATAAAGCCGGGCGCGGGTGGTGCGGTGTGGCAATAGGTCCTGCAAACAGGGAACTGTCAGGAGTTGATGGGCTGAAGGCCTGGCTATTCTTCTCAATCCAATCGGAGATCCTAGAACGCTTTAGGGTTCAGGGTCTGCTGATCTCGGTTTCCCTGCGTGAGGGAATGAGAGCTGCAAACCGGGAAAAGGTGGGGCTCACCGGGCTCTACGATGAGTTTTCGCCACCGTTACCCTAAGACAATGGCTATGACCGCGACAACGACGACGATTGCTATTGATATCGCTGTGACTATTGCTTTTATCCTTGCTAGTATTACAAATACTCTTACTCTTACTACTACTACTACTACTACTACGACGACGACGACGACGACGACCACTACTACTACTAGTACTATTTACCACTACTAGTACTATTTACCACAAGCCTACCCTACCCTTAACCGCCCAAGCACAGTAAGCCCATGTAAACCCTGAATCACTGCACTCCGACTGGCACCTGTAAGCTCCAACACGACCCCGAACCCAACACCTTAGAGCAAAACCGGAAATGCATGAGAGCTGAAACCCCCAACCCTGAATCCCTATACCCCAAAACCCACAACCCTAAACCCTAAACATTAAGCATAAACCCTAACAAACCCCAAACCCTAACAAACCCTAAACGGTAGCTCACGGCGGCCTTCCCCGGCAGCGGGATGGGCTCCTTGAAGCTTCGTGTGTATCTGTCTCTCCCAGCGTCTCTCTGCGCGTGTGTTTGTTTGAATGGTTTCTGAAAGCGAAAAATTTACATGCATCATATACTGGGTTTAGGGTTTAGGGTTTAGGGCATCATATACTGCCTTCACTGCTGTATCACTGCTGATAGTTCTAAATTAAATGTCATGGACATGGTGCTCGCAAGCGGCCGTGACAGATGTCTACACTGCACTGCTGCCGAAATCCCAAGGCCTCACATGTAAACCCGATATAAGCCCAAATACCGCAAAGCCCGCAAACCCTGAACTTTGATGTTCCCACGCCCGAGCACCTGAACCACCCCCTCTATCAAGCCATTGAAAAAAGCCTTGTACAGACAGCATAAAAAAGCTCCTGCAACACATGAGAAGAACAATGAATTCAACCTGAACCCTGAACCCTGAACCCTAAACCCTAGCCCTAAACTCTAAACCCTAAACAATGATCACAGCCGAGGTGCTCCGGGAAACCCAAGGGACCAGAACTGGTAGTGCTCCTCAGCAGACGTTCGGCCGACTGCTTCGGGGCTTCGAGTTTAGGGTGTAGGGTTCTTGAAAGGGTTCCTTTAAAGGAAACTACAGCTGGGGAGTTTAGGGTATATAGGGCTTCTGTAAGGCTTCTATCAGGTATATAGACCTTCTATAAGGCTCCTATAACGGTAACTACCCACCTGAAAACTGTCCCGCACTTCAAAGGGCTCTGTCGGGATGCTGAAACCGTAACTCTAAACACTAACCCAAAACCTTAGAGGCTGAGTACCCTAGCCCAAAAACGGTTAACCTTTTGAATTATATAGGGCTATATGAGCCCCAAAAGGTTACATGTTGCCTACTCAGCCCCTGAGAAACCCTTTCTGCATCAGGACTTGTGCAATCGCCTGAATGTCCGAGCCCGCAGAAGTTCAGCTCTCACGACTGCGCTTCCATACCGTGCTACCCTGAGAAACCCTAAACCCCAAAGCCTAAACCCTAAACCCCAGGATAGTCCTTAAAACTCCCTACAGTAGAAGCCCAAAAGTTGGAGACCCAATGGCCTCAATCCTTAAGAGTAATTTATAGGGAATCCCAGCACTATTTGTCCTTTATCCGGTTTCCAACTTTTTGGGGTTTACTATATAGAGTTTTTGGGGCCCTAAACCCTAAACCCTACCCTAAACCCCGAAACCC